AACGGCACGCAGTTCGCTGGTACGATATGGTTTAACGCCAGATACCATCCTCAAGTGAATTTTGTTGAGCGGATGAACAAAACAATAGGAACCGCGATTAGATGTTTTGATGAGGAACATAAGGATTGGGACCTACAGTTGCCACAAATTCAACATGCTATTAACACGTCCCGTCACGAACTAACAGGTCATTCACCGTGCTTTCTGAATTTTGCTCGACACGTTCCTTCGTCAGGAAATTACTATGGTGAAGTACAGTCAACTGATGCCTTGGAAATATTACCAGGTGATAGAAATTCCTATGCAGCTGAGCTTAAATCTTTGAGAGACGTTTTTGAAGAAGTTCGTCAAAATTTGCATCGTTCTTATCACTCACTCCTCACCTGGAACCATATTATTAACTTTAACTCCTAGACTGTGGAATGTGAATTTACTCTCAAAGCTGTACAGCCTTCGCTCAGTACTGTGCGAATGCCATGATCATCATCTTCAACTTTATTGTGAGAATAATATTTCATACACCACATTACTTATGATTGTTGACAGTATTCTTTAACTCATCAATTATGATTTACTCAGGTGGGTTACCATGGTGAGAAGGTAGTATAAATGTGTGAATATCACCACATATAATTCAGCTAAATTTCAGTTTGTCATATACAGGGTGATCTTGTCGGTTCAACAAGGCTTCAGGTCAGATACTTGTTAATTTATTGTTTTTTTGTAAATATATGTAAATATCTGGGTGAATATAATTTCTATACATTCCCCCTCTTCCTGAGTTGATTGACGTTGGTTTGACATTATGAAAATTAGAATATATATAATTTTTTTTGTATTGTAAAGAACTTGTCAAAATTGAATGGATCTTGTTTTCTTGACTTGGACAAGGCCAAATATCCCAAGTACTTCAAGTCAAGTGGCGCCTGGGCAAGTTTCCCTCTCCTTTTTTTTTTCTTCCTTTGGAAACTTATGATATTGAATAAATTACATAATGAATTGTTAACTCCGACCTCCATGCTCTCTAGACAACAACGCTAACGGTGTAGTGACTTTTCAATTTTCAATAGAAAGTTGAAAACGTTACAGTAGATATCGCACAAGTCGGATTTAACTATATCAATGCCTTGTCTGGAGATAATGTAGAAACCTTAGATGACTTCTCAGCAAAGAATCTTGGTGAAAGAAAGCATTTCAAAATTTTAGAATAGAGATGGGACTTTGGGTCGTTCTAACAAATTAGTCTATCATATTGATACTGGCGACGCCAGACCAGTTAAGCAATGACAATACCAAATGTCTCCCTACATGTTGGCCCACTTGAATGAAGAGCTCGATCATATGCTTGAATTGAATGTTGTCGAACCTTCAAGTAGTGAATGGAGTTCCCCGGTCCTTTTGGTGAAAAAACCGAACGGAGAGTTTCGGTTCTGTTTTGACGGGAGGAGATTGAACGCGGTCACGAAAAAGGATAGCTACCCTCTCCCTATGGTCGACAGGATTCTTTCAATGTTGGGTCATGCAAATTTCATTTCTGCAATTGATCTCCGTAGAGCCTTTTGGCAAATTCCGCTCGATTCAGGGTCTAAGGAGAAAACAGCGTTCTCAATTCCTGGAAGAGGTCTCTTTCATTTCAACGTTTTGCCTTTTGGTCTCTCAAATGCAGCTCAATGTCAGCAGCGTCTCATGGATGCCATTTTCGGACCAGAATTGGAACCGAATGTCTTTGTTTAGTTAGACGGTGCGATTATTATAAGTAAAACCTTCGAAGAGCATATAGCATTGCTGATTGAAGTAGCATAACGTTTGAATGAAGCTTTGACTGTGAATTTGAGAAAATGCGAGTTTTTATGACCTTCAATTAAATACCTCGGTTTCATTGTTGATAAATATGGACTTAGAACAGATTCAAATAAAGTCTCTGCTATGGTTAACTTTCCTTAGCCAAAAAACACAACTGAAATCAAAAGATTCACGGGCCTTTGCAGCTGGTACCGGCGTTTCATTCCTCACTTTTCAAGTTTGATGGCACCTATAAATAATTTATTGAAGCATAAAAAGAAGGGTCAAGAGATTGTTTGGACACATGAAGCTGAAAAGGCGTTCAAAGATGTCAAGCAAGCACTTATTTCTGCTCCCATTCTAACTAGTCCGGAATTCAGTTCCAAATTCACAGTTCAATGTGATGCCTCAGACACAGGCTTAGGATGTGTTTTGATACAGAATCAAGAGGGTCAGGAAAAAGTGATTGCTCTTGCATCCAGGAGTTTATCCAGAAGTGAGAGAAATTATAGCGTAACCGAATAGGAATGTTTGGCCTGTATATTCGCATGTGAAAAATTTCGCCCTTATATTGAAGGAGTGAAAATCAATTTGATTAGTGACCATGCTTCACTCAAGTATTTATTTAAAATGAAGAATCCTACAGGGCGACTCGCGCGTTGGAGCGTGCGCCTCAGTCAATTTGACTCTGATTTAAGTCATGTTAAGGCAGCCTTTAATGTAGTTCCAGATTCTCTTTTAAGGGCACCTGATGAATCTACTTCTATTGAAACTACTGTTAACGAAAATTTTGTCATTGAAAATTCTGATAATAATGTTTGTCTAGATGTGGACCTCGGGAACTCAGACTCATTTTATATTAGGATGCGCTCCAATATTTTGTCGGAACCAGATGAATTTCCGAGCTGGTCGGTTAATAATAATTATGTTTATAAACTGGTGGCATCCAAAGTTCCTTTGAATACGAATATTTCTGATTGGAAATTATTAGTGCCTAAGAGGCAAAGAAGGAAAATCATATCATTTTGCCATGATTCACCAACAGCCTCGCATTTAGGATATTTGAAAACTCTCTCTAGAGTGACCCTAACTTATTTTTGGCCGAAAATGCGCCGTGACATATTATATCGTTATGTAAAATCATGTAAATTTGTGCTTTTCAGAAAGCTCCAAACTATTCGAAATTTGGTTTCATGGGTACTGAGAAAAAAGTACGATTTCCACGGCAAGTTATAGCCTTAGATCTAATGGGCCCTTCGCCACGTAGCTCTAACGGTTTTCAATACATATTAGTGATAAGTGATTGGTTCACTAAGTATCCCTCAATTTATCCACTTCGTAATGCTACGGCCCCAAGTATAGTCCGTATTTTCGAAAATGATGTTTTTCTAGTGTATGGGGTTCCCCAACACATAATTTGCGACAATGGGAGGCAACTAGTTAGCAACTCTATTGAGAATTTAGTTAAAAAATATAAAACTCATAGATTGTATACCTCATATTACCACCCACAGGCCAACTACGTTGAAAGAACCAACAGAACCATTGGGACAGCAATCCGTAGTTATATTACAGATAACCACAAGTTGTCGGACAAAGAATTGCCAAAAATCGCGTATGCGCTGAGAACAGCGGTTCACGAGGTGACAGGGTACAGCCCAGCTTTTTTGAATTTTGGTAGAGAAGTGCCTTGTTCCGGTGAATACTATGGGAGGGGAGATATAGAGTTAGACTTAATAGACAGACAAAATTGAGTTGAGAACTTAGGAAAAATGTCAGAGATCTTTAATGAGGTTCAGAACAAACTTAATATTGCTTATAGTGGAAACGCAAAACGTTATAATCTAAGGAGGAGAGATAAGGAATTTTTCGTAGGAGATGAAGTTTTAAGAAAAAATAAAGTTCTTTCAAATGCTGGAGATAATTTCAGTAAAAAACTGGCACAACGTTACATAAAATGTACGATAATGAAGAAAAAATCGAAACTCGTCTACGTCTGTAGAGATGATGAAGGCCACATTGGCAATGTCGGAACCTGGCACATAGAGGATTTAAAACCCGTATATGGATCTGATGATTGGTCCTCATCAGATGAAGAAACCAGGTCTGTTGCGGAAAGCACTCTAGCCTAGAATAATAGGTTCAACCGTGTTTATAGCGCAACCTTGTATAATATTAGATTAAGTTAGTCGATAGTCATAGTCTATAGCGTCTAGTAGGTTGAAATCAAACTCGAGTTTAAAATAAGGCAAGCAAAAAAAAAATAATTTATTTGGTCTGCTCAACTATTGCCCATTAAAAAAAAATTGTGACATTTCCAATGTCAATTTTTTTTCCATAAGAGGGGGGTGAATATAACATGAAAATTGGCCATTTCCATCGTTAGTAGCAATACCTACCCTACCATCGTTCAGTATACGTGGAAAGTCTTCAAATAACAAATATACGAACTAAGTGATTACTTTATTCCAAAATAATTACATAGCATTGGGTGTTCTCTAGCAGACCACTCTGTACCTAATCTTGACCAGGGACTCCACTGATATAAACGGCTGGACTGACGAGTTCTTCCGTTTGGCATCCAGTTTAGGTTCCTGAAACAGAATTAAAATGTATTATTTCCAAACTGACTAAGATATTGGACATCTACTATAAATTTCTATTTGTATTGTTGATACTCACCTTTGACAAATATGCAATAAATGGGTTATCTATTTTTGTGGTTCTGGTACTGCAGATATTTTTCAGCAGTCGTCCGTGAAAGTATTAATTTTCTTATTTTCATTCAATATATACATTCATAGAGAAAGGTAATAATAGGTCATTAGCATAATGTCCTAATTGTCATATGTAATGATCGTAACTTGTCATCCGTTATACGTCAAGGGTCAAGAGCATTCCAGTTCAGTTAGAGGACATCGGGTGGAGTGCCTGGTGTGGTGCAGTGTAGCCGGGATCCTCCCAGTTCATTTCGCTATGACGTCAGGTCACCTTCACTTCACCACTATCTGGTGTGTGGGTAGGCGAAGCTGCGATTATACGTACGTTACTGTCGTCTGCTGCTCGTGGGTTTTTCTGCTGTTTTATGTGGCAGTTGGCAATATGATAATTATTATTATTAAGTTGGTTCTGAAGATTCGATTCAATTCGATTCAAAAACTATCAGAAAATTCTCAACAAATTGTCAAGTGAAGTGTACGCTATTCGCTGATGAAAAAATGAGTTCTACAAGAAGCAAACTAGAACTGCAATCCATCATCAAAGATACCATCACCGAGCTATTCTCAAGTGAGGAATTCGTCATAAGTATAACAAAAACCATAGCAGCTAGGATCGAACAAAAAATAAGGCAAATTGAAGAAGATGTAAAAACTATGAATGATAAAATGAAACTACTAGAGATAAAAGTCGATTCTCTCCAACAGCAAGAACGAATCAATAATATATGCATATACGGAGTGAATGAAGAAACCGGGGAGAACCTGAAAAATAAAGTAGCGAAATTGTTGAACGAGAATATTGACTCGTCCCTACAGGAGGAGCACTTAATAGACATATACAGGGTAGGCAAAATTAACAGTCGTCCTCAAGGTAAAACAAGACCAATCATAGTGAAACTAATATCCTACGACCGTAAACTGACCTTACTGAAGAACATAAAGAAACTGAAAGGTAAAAACATGTTCATCACTGAAGACCTGGTGAAAAACAGACAGACCTTACTAATGAAAAGTAAAGATGTCTTCGGAAAACAAAATGCATGGTCTTTCAATGGACAAATCTATGTGAAAATTGGGGGGAAAACTGAAAAAATATATAGCCATCGGGACATAGAAATATACTCTTCGAGCTGAAAAATTGAATGGAGGAGCCTGATTAAAATGATTTGAATATTTCGATTTTGTATTCCATATTCTTTTCCTAAATATAACTTCTCACTAGTAAATAATTTTTTCATCAATGATCGACTTTCTCGATGAGTTGGATGAGCACTCGGAGAGGGAAGCAACAGTATATAATGGTATATTCGAAAACACACAACAGTTCAGTGGTAAGCATTTATTTGATATTATTCACCTAAACATTAGAAGCTTGAAAAAAAATTTCGATGAATTGCTCGTGTATCTGGAATCTATTTCTGTTAACAATTTAGATATAATTGTTCTCTCGGAATCATGGAGAGTGGACGACATTAGTAACTTTGAAATACCGAATTTTGATATTGCATATAACGAATCCTGCTTTAATCAGAACGATGGTGTGGTTGTCTATATTAAAAATGGTCTAGATTACATAACCAATGTGAAACATTTTAGTGAAACGAAAATCTTAGGATTTCTGCATACATTAGAGAACACGTCATTTATACTAACGACATGTTACCGTCCACCATCTATAAATTTAGAAAATTTTATAGGAGAACTAGATAACTACTTCTCACAACAACCCAGTGCCGATGTGAAAATTTTCACAGGCGATATCAATATTAATATCCTGGATACCACCGACAAAAAGGTTAACGATTATATTTGTATTATGGCACACCAAGGATTTCTTTCTTATATTGATAAACCAACCAGAGTGACAGACACATCCTCGACTTCAATTGATCACATCTTCGTGAAAATGTCCAGTGAAAATGTCAAAAGAAAATTTCGTTTCAACTCTTCTATATTCACTTTAGACTTGACTGATCATTATATGCTATTACTATCAATAGAACTTCCCAGACAAAAAAGTGAATACAGAAAGGAACAAGAAAATAACACCTTTATCAACTACTTCAAATTCGAAAAACTTATTTCGAAAGAAAACTGGGAAGCAATATCAACAACGGAGGATCCAAAGTAAGCCTACAACAAATTTATAAATAAAATATCTGAAACCATTGTAAGATGTAGCAAAACAAATAAAAAAGTAAGTAAAAAAAATCAGGAAAAATTAAAACCATGGATGACACTGGGTCTACTTTATTCTATCAGACACAGAGATCTACTCAAGAAGAAGTTTAATGAAACTAAATCCCTAAATTCTAAAATAGAGTATAAAACATACAGAAATTATCTCAACTCACTCCTTAAAGAAACCAAAAATGAATACTATATGAATAAAATAAAAGAGGCGAATAAAAATAGAAAAAAAATTTGGCAACAAATTAATGAAATAACAAATAAAAAAAGTCACTCTAGGGACAGTACCAAATATGACATTATTGATGAAAATGGGGACAAAATTGCAGATGACCTCAGCAAAGCCAACTATTTTAATAATTTTTTTTCCAACATTGGTCTGAACATGGCAAATAAGATCAATAAAAAAACTACTCCCATTCCCGAACAAAAATTCAATATTCAAGAGTCCCTATTCCTCCATCCAGTAACACGCAATGAACTAACGAATCTGATTTCTAGTTTAAAAAACAATACTTCTGCTGGTCCTGATGGAGTGTCTGTTTATTTAATAAAAAAAAGTCACCAATACTTCCTTGATCCCCTATATCATATATTTAACAAATGTTTTGTAAATGGCACGATTCCAAATAATTTCAAAGAAGCCACCACAACGCCTATTTTCAAAGCCGGAGACAAAAAACTCGCCACAAACTACAGACCCATATCGGTAATAAATAACTTTGCGAAACTTTTTGAAAAGTGCTTAAAAAGTAGACTTGTAAATTTCCTGGAAAAACATGAGATTTTATCACCATGCCAATATGGATTCAGAGAAAATATGTCAACGGAAAACGCCGTGTTTCACTTAGTGAATAAAATACTGAAAAGCGCCAATGAAGAGAAAAAGTGTCTAGCAGTGTTTTTAGACTTGGCCAAAGCCTTCGACACTGTCAATCACGATATTTTGTTACAGAAATTAGGAAATGTAGGAGTGAGAGGCAAGTCTTTGGAATTATTAGCCGATTATTTACAAGGTCGAACCCAAAGGGTCAAAATTAATGATATCTATAGCCAGCCACAGCCAGTCGCCATGGGTGTTCCCCAGGGCACTGTCATGGGTCCAATTCTGTTCCTAATATATATCAACAGCATTTACAACTTGAAAAACATTGAGGGTGATATTATTTCGTTTGCTGATGACACGGCCTTGGTTTTCTATGATAACACATGGGACTCTACTTATGCGAAAGCACAAAACGGATTAAACATTATATTTTCCTGGCTGAATTCTAGTCTTCTGAGTCTAAACATCGATAAAACCAAATTCTTGACCTTCTCACCAACAACAAGAGACCAACCACTAGAGGAAAACATTTTCATACATACCCCCAACTGCCAAAATCCTTTAATTTGCTCCTGTCCACGTATAAAAAAAACGGATTCCATAAAATATCTGGGTGTGATGCTTGACCAACATTTACGCTGGGACAAACATGTAGACTTTCTCGTGAAAAGACTTAGAAAACTCAATTTCAAATTCTACGAACTCAGAGACAAAGTAAATAAACATTTATTACTAATGACATACGATGCATTAGCAGAATCAGTTATAAGGTACTGTATTATTGTTTGAGGTGGGTTGAATAAAACAAACTTACATAATCTTCAAGTAATACAAAACACCTTGCTTAAAATAGTACTGAAAAGAGACAGAAGACATCCAACTGAGAGCTTATACAAGGAGGCTAGCTTATTTAATATTAGAAAATTATACACCTATCACTGTGTACTATGGACGATGAACTCGACTCTTACATATCTAAGACACATACATGACACTCGAGCCAGATCCGAGAGAACAATTAGTGTTCCTTTTTGTAAAAATGTATATACCCAAAGGTTTGTTACTTTCTTTGGACCAAAACTTGTCAATCAAGTTCCCATTGAACTACGAAATATAAAAAGCTTTAAAAAACGCAAGAAAACAATCAGATCCTTCGTCGATCACAACTTTGATTCCCTAATACAAACACTTGAATCTATCTACTGAACCATGTCCGAATAATTTATTAATATCTTATTTGAAGCTGTCTCCCTTTTGCCTGAGTGTCTTGTCCGATCCTCCTGTGAGTTGATCATTGATTTTTGTTGATTCTTAATTAATATTCTTTACTGAAATGAATGAATAGTTTCCTTCATCTTATTTTTTTTCTATTTACCTTCATGGTTGTGTCCAGATCTGGGAAAATACGCAACACAAGCTCTGCTTAGGCGTCTCCCAAGAACTGAACACCACCACTTATTTACTTATTTAGTTATTAATAATTTTTTTCGCAATTTAATGTAATAAGATACTATTTATTTACGATATGTAACATTAACAATATAAAAGAAAATATATGTATGTATCTGAATTGAATTGAATAAATTGATTGATTGATTGATTGATTGAAGATGCGCAGAAACTAATTTTACATTTCGAATGTTTTTTCTAAACGGTTTTCAAAATGATCTGCTCATTTAGTGACGAATTTCCTTTTTTCTTGTCGAAGTTCTGTCTGTTCGACGAGCTCTGAGATTCCATGAAGATGGTTGACCATTTTTATTTCTTCCTCCGGTGTGAGCAGCACCCAAAACATAGGCTATTCCTACGGAAAGGTAAGCTGATTTATTTTCATTCCCCATTTCGGGATGCCCTTTAGCAAATGGGATTATTCCAGATCTGCTGGCCTTTTTGGGTGAGGTTAACTCACGACTATGGACCACGCCATATTTTTTCGACGACCTGAAATTGCCTCTGTCTCCGATTCCCGCAAGTACCTTCAAGTCAAGCAGTTAACCCTAGCTTTGGAGCCCTGTTTTGCTCATCAGCTGCCCAGGAACGCTGAAGGCCCCACAGTTCATCAAGGACCGTTGAGACACGTGGAAAAACGGCCCTCTTTGGCCCATGCTGGCACCGGTCCAATGAGGCCCCTGAGACTTTCTGCTGCCTCCATATCTGCAGCTTGCTGTGTGGATCTCGTTTCTGTGGTTGCTTAGGCCCTCAGGCTCGGTTTAATGCCTGCAATACTTGCTTCTGGGACCACAAGGTTAGACCCATCCAGTTTCTCATGATCAAAGGGGAGATATTCTCATGAATCCCATATAGGTCGATTTTACCACTCGAAATCATAGATATATAATCTTCCCAAATTCAATTATCAAGTTTATCAATTAATACATGAAATAGAAGTCTCACACCAGTTTGTGAACTCATATATTGGCCAATATAAGGGGGGTAACTCTGATGAGTGATAGTGTTTTCAGGCACCCTGGTGTAAAGACAAGTATATCAACTTTCACAACTACACAAAATGGTTCAATTAGAAAATAACTGAAACAATACTTGGTTGTGTCTAAGTATTTCTCTTCTTTTATATAAATCAGTTGTGTCCTAGTGTTTCTCTTCTTTCATATCAAGTGCTACTGATGGGTTCATTAAATAGGTGTAGTCCAACTGAGATCTTTTATTTCCAAAAGTCTTCTTATCTCGATTTGTGTTAAAATAAATTGGGTGGCGCCTGACAAAATGAATAGGACCCCTATTGATAATCGAACCCATACTTGCTCCCTAACAACTGAGCGGCCACAACTATAACGAATATTGGTGGACATCAAACACTTACCAGAGCTTGAGAGAAAATATTCGTTATAACATCTTCTATCATGATCATTCCCGAAAAGGAGTTACAAAAATTCTAAAAGAGGAACAAATTGACAACAAGGAAGCTACAAATTCTGGCATGATCCTTTTTGAGTTTTTATGTCAGTAAACGGAGTTCTCGAAAAATTTGTCTACCAAGGCATCTTCTATCACCATGGTTCCAGAAAAACAAAATGAAGGGCTTTAAACATTCTGAAAGGAAAACAAATTAACAACAAGGAAGCAACAGATTCTAGCATGATCGTTTTTGCGCTTTTATGTCAATCAACGGACATTCGGAAAATTAGTCTAGCATGGCATCTTTCATTATCATAGTTCCAGAAAAACAATACAGAGTAACAAAAATTCCAGGAGGGGAACAAATTAACAACAAGGAAGCAACAAATTCTG